AACACCGTTCCTTAGCAAACAACACCACAGTGCAGGTCGATTAACCGAGTCGAATGCGGCACAGATGTCTAAGAATGCAACGATGGTAGGCCTCTGGTAAAGGTGGCGGTGTTCCATGATTTTCCGGAGTGTGACTATCTGATTCACTCCCGTGGCCAGGTCGGAAGCCAGTTTATTCTTCTTGATACTGCGTTTCGCGAATGGGAGGTAGTATACGGAGTAGAATGGATGCCAATAGCTTAGAGGCAACCGAAATGAGACTAATCCCCTGGTGATTGGTACACGAAGTGCGACCACCCCTCTTAAAAATCAGAACGATGACTGACTCGCCCCAGGAAGAAAGCACCAGATTTTGGAGAACAATGTATGACTACCCAGGGCGGGCAGCTGGGTTCGCAGGGTATATAGGTGGACGGTGAAGGCCAATTGAACTAGGTATGAACATGTTCGGTCCAGTTGGCAATCGGCGAACCATCCACTTCGCATACACTAACTGACACCAGGCTTTCTGTGGCCAGTGTAACGAATGAACGGGAAGAGCTTGTGAGTATTGCCAGAGAGTGCAGCGGCCTCCATTTCCGAAGCACGCTGGGACCACCAGGCTTCGCGCTCACAGCGTAGGCTTTGTTTTAGCTGCCGACTGATTGAACGGCGCACTTCATCTTGATTAGATTCCGCTGGGATATTCCTGCGGCGGTCAAATAAATCCAAAAAGCGCGTGGAGATCCAGACCTTCATAGAATGCTAATTAAGACTTGCTGTCCGGAAGAGATCATGGCCCTCTGCATGCTTGTCCAGTGCTCATCAATATCTTGCGGTGGGTCGCGGCTGAGTGCACAGGGCAGGGAAGGTTGATAGCTCCGCTGAACCGAAACAGTAAATAGTTTCTTTGTGTCTATGTTACAACGCTTCACTTTCGGGGACCCTCGGAAAGTCATGCAAATGTTCGCACAGACAAGAGCATGATCTGAGCCAGGAAAAGTGAACCAGATGGATCTGCAATTCTTTACACTGCCTCGCAATCTGAGACCATGATTGAGACGCAAAAGTGGGTCGCCAATTAGCGAAACGTCTCCTCCAATGCCGAAAGTTGGTGCCCGAGAGAAAAAGATGATTGTCTTCGCACAGTTTGAGGAGTCTCTCCCTATTATCTGAGCGGCTCATCGAGCGCATGGTAACCACCGAGGTGACTTTCGCATGATAATAGACGACCGACCCATGTGTTAAGATCCCTAGCAAGGACAACGATGTCCGATTTGCAGGCTCTGCTCAAGAGCTGATGAACACGATAGAAATCATCCTTGACGGAGTCGGAACTGCAGACAATTGGACCGTAAACTGAGATCACCAACAGCTGCGTCTCTCCTCGTGACATTTGTTTTTCTTACATGTTCTCCGAGGCCAAACAGCACACAATCGGTTTTTAATCAAGAACCAGTCCATCAATGCTGCCTCGGCTTTGCTACTTAACTCTACACCAACGCCAGTCAAGCCTGCCGCAGATGTTTCTGCGTCACCAGATAGACGTAGGTGAAATATGGCTCTGTGGTCGGTGGGAGATCTCAACTCAATAACAGTACTGGGATATTGTAAGCGCGTTTCGGAAATTCAGCAAACATCGATGACGAGGGATTCCAAGGTGCGCGCAAGACCAGCTTGCTGCTCGATCTATATTAGTGTACGTACATTAAAGCATACCAGACGGAACGAAGACCGAGGCCGAAGGAGTGCGACTGGGCGAGCTCTCTTGATGTCAACGAAACCATCGGGAGTAGAATCATGGAAACAAGAATCGTTTGGTAACGGATAACAGTGATGGGTAACCAATGGGCAGGTGGCGTGTGAAGGTGAGTGACTAGTAGGAGCAACAGCAGCTGAGAGTGATATTGCAGATGAACGGTCCTTGGTTTTGACTTGGAGTGACGTGACAGTGACTCGGCTACGATCCGTTCATCTTCTGGGCCGACTATCAGGTGCAATAGAGGTTTGTGGAATGATAACCTTATCTTACTGCGCAGCCTCTCGTTAACAGCTTAAACTCCTCTTGACTTATTTCAGGAGGCGTGATTAGGGCATCTGTCGAATGAGGTATAGCTCCTGAGTTGATCAATGTAGCCAACCCATCTGTCGTCATCTACTGCCACTTCATGACAGACTTGACCATGCCTTATTACAACCGTTCCAGTTGTTCGAGATTTTCTTGTTCCGATTGTCCTTTGCCAACACCTGTCGAAATGTCGTGGTGTAGCGCGATGTCTTCAGTTGTTCTAACGCCCCATTATCCACTTTTTTCGGAGTTGGTCCTGTCTAGCTGTCTTATTAGATCAAATTTCGTTCGTGACCTTCTGAGTAGGGGGCGATTTTGCTGGGGGCTTCCCGTCTGGCATCATGTGGATTAGGCGTAATCCTGCATGTTAGCAGAAAAGTCTGTAGGTCCGTCTACTTCAGCTTTGAGCAGAGCCCTCTTGAAAGTATCCAAAAATCCTTCATCATGCCTATTTGACTGTGGATGACAACGAGGTGAGCGCACATGCCACATGATGTGTAACGCATAGAATTCAGCAGTATGAAGAGCTAATCTGAGGTCCATTATCGGATACGGCTGTTTCCGAAAAACCGAACCGACTGAATACTTCCCTGAGGATTGTAATCGTGACCGATGTTGATGTGTTCGACGTTTGGAAGTTCTCGGGCTATTTGCTATATGCATCGTTGATAAGTAAGAAGTTCTGCTGTTAGATTAGCCCTGCACAACCAAGTTGAAACCTTGAATATGATTTCCTTGGCATCGGCCAGGAAAACAGTTCGCCTTTCCGCGATGGTTTCGCTGCCAGGGCACACTTTGAACATTAACATGCTTACTCCTCAATTTAAGAATCCATAAATGTTTAGTCCACCTAACTCCTCGCTAGAGCCTTCATCCCGTTGAAGGGATGTCCAGTATGCAATTGTTGTAGGACTTTGGATTGAAGTTCGGCCGGGATGATAACGCGTTCACCAAACAAGATTCAGTCTTCGACGACCGATAGTGCATTTCCTCTCTGAAACAAGCGTTGTTGCTATGCACCTGAAATTTTTCGTAGCGACTGTGAATGATAAAACGTGCTCACCTTTGACAGCAACGGGTCCCTTAAAGTGGCGTCTCGGATCTGGCTGAAAGATATTAGGAGCTGGCCTACAGTATCCGAGAGCACAAGGTTGACTTTTCAATTGAAACATTAGTAACGACCGTGTCTTCTGACTGATGTTGTTTGTCCAAAAGTCGTGATAGCGCATCGGCTTGACAAACTTCGATTGTCGATCGGTATTTGATATTGACGTGATACCCAGCGAAGTTGTCACCCATCTTTGAAGACAATTGGCGGTATATGCCAGGATTCTTTTCTCCGAGCTGAATATAGAAAGAAGCGGTTTGTGGTTCGTATAGGCAGTGAAGGGACAGCCATATAGCGTTTTGTAGAAATGCTTCACTGCAAACACAACAACGAGTGCCTTCTTCTCAAGTTGGCTATAATTTCTCTCCGATGCAGTCAGCGAACGAGCAGCATGAGCGACTGGCGGTAGCATGTTTTCACTTCTCTATTCTACTGTTAAACTGCGCGACGCCCGATGAAACATCTGGGTAAAGGTCAATGAAATGGTTTTAATGGGAGCTGGAATACTGCTAGGGCGCAGAAACCTAGACAGGAGAACGATTATGTTCCTCAACCAAAGTCTCTGGCTCAAAACCGAAGACAGAGTAGCGGGAAGATGACAACTGTCTGGTTTCGCGGAAATGGATGTCATCCCATTTCGAGATCTCAACCTTGAGGACTAGGAGACTGAGTTCATCTGACATATACCATTGACCAATCTGCTTTGCGTGGCTTTCAAGAGGCCCGAGAGTACCGCTCCAAATAGCTCAATTGGTCGAAGAGGTGCGCAACCCGTTGTACTACCTTGTCGCCTTGTTGCGCCGGCCACTGAGCATACTCCAGATTCTTTTGGATTGTTCTACCACGGAATTCATTCTCTGAACCCACGTGGGATTTCAAACCATTGAAGCTTCGTGTTTTCATTGCTGCCAAGCGATACACTACGTAACAAATACAACCTGGCTGACGGCATTTTAGACTCGATTGTTTACAAATGAAGTATTGGAAGACTACTGATCATCCTTGAAGCCCCTCGGTTTTCCTGTTAGTTGTAATATGCACACCCATGCCGTCTAAGCTCGCGTTCCGCCAGTGGACCGTGTTGTTTCATTGTCCATAACTTACCGCGTGACTTTCAGTTGTCACCTTCACTTTTCAATCCCTTCATCTGTTGGAGGCCTTGCATCTTCTCTCTCAGTGAACAACGTTGTTACGCTGTCATTGGTGTACATTAACATCCTTGTACTGTATTACGGAGTTTCTTGTTGAATCACAGTGTTCTCTTCGGCACTGCCTATCAAGTCACATTCCACAGAGGAAGGATGGTTGTCGAGCATCATACAGAGCTGATTACTCTTTAGTTAGGCTGATTGAACTTGTTTTTGTTCCTTTTTATAGGGACCTGCACTTGTCTCTCAGGCCATATTATTTAAGACCCTACGACCTCTCCACCACACAACTATCCCATTTTTGATATGTTGACTAATCTGTTTGATATCCGCCTTCATTATTCTCTACCGGGATAATACTTATCGTTAAGGGGTCAGCAACTCAGACAGAATGAACGATTGGTACACCCTAGCAACCGGGATTCGCCATGTTATCTGTTTTATGTTCAACTACATTTCAATGCACCTCGGGTCATTTCGTGCATAGAGTGGGACTCACAGCGGTAGGTTTCACTCGGTGCATTGATGCTAGTTTCAGCAGTAGCCAACAGATCGTACAATGTCTAATTATAAAATGAATTCAGTGCAACTGAAGCCTAAGAATCACAAGGTTTTCTGCTTTTCTTATAGTTGAACTGTTCAACAAATCACCATTAGTTTTATTGTACTTTGGTCTTTAACCTTACTCGTTTTTCCAGATCAAAGTGTCCGTATCGGTAAAGTACTTTAAAGATGTTGGTTAGTTCCTACTGGTTCTCTGCTAAGGCTAGATAGGATCCCAATGAGGATACCGAATGGAATGCTATACTCAGGAATCATGATATCTTGCCTCCGAAAGAAGACGCGTCTGTTGAGGAATCAGAGCCTGCTCTGGATTCGAGTATGTTCTACTCTTATTCGACTGGACCGTATTCTCCTCTAGAGACGGCGTTGCAAACAATGACCGTGGATGAGATAAAAGAAAAGCTGGAGTTAATGGAAGATCGTGGTCTGGACGATGAGGATGCCAAGTTTCTAGAGGAGTATCGCAGGAAGCGTATCGCATTGCTGAAAGAAGAAGCTGCGCAAGCTCGGTTTGGCTGTGTAAAGGAAATCACAAAGTCAGACTGGAAGACCGAAGTCAACGAAGCCGGTGATCACTATGTTGTCATTCATATTGCGCAGAGGGGGTAATTGATTTCCGTTTTATATTTCACAACCATTTTTATGATTTTGTTGTGCTGCATATTCGCTTTTCTCAATTATCTCGCCCGTTTGCTTTCTGGTGATAATTTTGATCCTTGGTCTCAACATAGCTGGTCGTTAACGTAACACATTTACTGTTCTCAACCGTGAGACAAACGTATTCACAGCAAAATGTTCTCTGTAGACATCGAGCATAGACCTCAACATTTTCCCAGGGAAATCTTGACAATAAGAGGACATGTTCTAGATACCTATGTAACCAGCATTATTTTTCGTATCACGATAACTGTTTCCCTGCTATAAAATAGCGATCCTACTTTCCATCCGTTATGGGCACTGTTTTGCTCTACGTTGTCTTCAATATTTTATTCTTTGCGGCGTTAAGTCTGCTGCCAGTTCGAAATTTTCATTCTACACCTGTGTGAGCCACTTACACAGTTTGAGATTTGCAATTTATTTGACAACCGCCCATCTCCCTACCTATTGACTTGAATGCTGATGTATAAACTTGTATAAAGTGGATCACTGCACCTTCTTTTAACGGGTTAAATTCTGTGTACCGCTCTACAGCCCTTTTTACGTACCACCCTTCGTACTTTTGGGACACGGCGTTACACAGGAGCTGACTGAGTCGAGCTGTTTAACCGCGGCTTGATTACGGTTTCCTCCAACCAATCCTTAGTCTCATAGTTGGTAGTCTGGGAGTGTCATCTGCCTTCTTAGTTGAGGCGTACGCGACCGAAACGTCGCATTGTATCCACACCTACCAGACTGGAATCCCAGTGATAGTGTACTTTAGCTTCGCATCTCCGGTTATGTTTAATTCATTGTTTTTTTTGGGGGGGGGGCTTCTGTGTCGAAATTGCTCTCGGTTGACCTACGACGATGATAGCCAGCGCAACCTGGAACACCTTAGCACTGCTCCTACTTATTCATTGCACACAGGTCCAAAAATGTTGCGGCGCCGGGCAGTAGCTTACAAAAGCATATTTACACTTCATTCTCAGTCACGTTGAGTAGAACACTGGGTCGAGCACTTTGAAGGGTAATTCAACTTTCCCCATGTGACAGGACTAGTTATTTGGTCACCGGAATCCAATCGGCACCTTGACGTAGCAAGTCCCGTCATCGACTACATCCGATACCGATTAGCGCTGCTGAGGCAGAACAGGACGCCTACATGGGAAGCCTATCGTGATCGTTGCTAAAGGACGGTGGAGATTTGCTAATCACCTGTCTGTCTACTATTTCGCGCAGTGAAGTAGTGTCCAACACCTTGCAGTTGGCAACTATCCTCAGGTTTATGAAGAGCAGACTGGTTCGCTATAGGAATTATCATATCATCAGTTGGACTTAAATTGTCTTTAAACTACCTACTTGCATCATGCTGCGTCGTCTCACTGAGAGACGAGTTGATGCAATTTATACTGATTTCCTCCCATGTAGGTGTCACATTGACTAAAATTTTATTCTTCGGCAGATGCTTCATAATCGTCCCACCTCCAGTTGGCCTTTCGTGGTTTTGTTGCTCTTCCTAATCTGTGGCAATGCTTATTCCTCAGGGCGAAATTCCTCTCTTCTCTAGAACCGCTGCACCACAACGCCCCTGGTCGTGAACGAGTCTCCAAATGCTTCCCTGAGTTCATCATCACAAGTAGTGTGCTTCAGGGCTACTTTTTTCAACTTTGTGATGAATCTGCCGATGGTTGACTTTCTCCTTTCACTTTGACTGGAACTGAAGTTCCGTTTAGCGACTGACTGACGAACCTAGCGAATGTGGACGACTTAGCTACTATACCATCCCTATTCAGTAAACACGTGCATTGATACACGCGTTGGCATTTGTTTTGCACTTGAAAGGGGCAAAGCGCTTTAGAGAGTTTGGTCGACCCACCTCCGGTTCTCGCTACCATGGAACAGCTGCCCAAAGTTATCGATTTGTTTACTTATTATTCGTAACGTCGCTGATATCACCGAGGAGATAACTGCACGCATCGTTACGGCTGATGCAGTTATTCAAAACTTGTTTGCTAACGCAATTGCTTGGCACGCTGTGGGGCGAACAGTGGTACTGCATCAATCCAAGTTTGAGCCGCTGCACGCTGGGACGTCATAAAACTTATGGTATTTAATAACCAATGGCTGCGACGTGTTGCTCACAGCTGTTCGCTAAGGTATGGCAGTGGATGTTTGTTACATTCGAATCGCCTTCGTTATGGCTTGGTACTTTGTTCCGCATGCATGTAAGCCGCGCGCTTCTCCGGTGTTGTTTGCCAATACTCTGCCTGGTTGGGTTAAGCCTTGAGGTAACCAGCCAACGAGGTGGCAAAAGTGCATGAGTGAACCCACAGAATGTCTGAATCGGAAGTCCACGGGATATGGCGCGACCACGTACTCTGTGGGACTCGCCCATTAGTGTCCTACTTTCGGACTCTTAACCATTCCGCCTGACATCTCACTAATTTACATTATTATTATTATTATTATTATTATTATTATTATTACGGTGTTTTGACAACGTTTATCATGGCAACTGGGTGCACTTCACTTCGGTGCACCAATCACAGATGACAAATTGAACTGAATGGAAATGTGTCTGTTTAACAAAGTGGGGTCAAAGCCGATACTTCCTGCACCATCTGTTTAACGTATTTCACCACGAGTTATCTTTCAAGGTTATGCACTTGCAGTTAAATATGTTCATTTCATTTCTGTTTTGTTTTGGAGTCTCCCTGTCGTGTACAATTCATCATATCGCTTCTTTGAAACAATCTACAGACTACGTCGTTACTGCTTCCCACTCGCATAACTGAATGGAATTTGGATTGAATACCATCCCGTGAATGACCGGCGGATAAGACCACTTCTGAACAGAATAACCTTGCACCAGCGTGACGAAGGTGAACTTCACAACTGCGCCGCCAACTCGAGGAAAATAGTCTGCCAGTTAGTGAGATCACTTGGGATAGCCCAATGAAATTCGAACACTGGGTTATGGACATTCGGCTTTGTAACACCATTGATTCGCCATGTATGGAATGAGCTTAGTCACACAGTTTTGAAAGAGAGCATGAATTACCTGTAACAGGATTCTGACACGGACTCCTATTTTGGACTATGACTTGCTCTGAGGCTACAGTCGGTCATCTCTACTACCAGGACTGTGTCCGAAGCATTTGCGAGTTGGATGCTGCTCGGTCCCAACGCCTAACTCCAGACTGGCCACGCATCGAGCTGACCCAATTTCTCCCAATTAAACCATGACCTGATTTGAGGTTCCTCCGCTAATTCCGTACACCTCTCGCATACTTCCGATCAACACGACAAGTACTACTCACGCAGCTCGTGCTGTACCGATGTGTCTGCGCTCTTGGTTGTCTCTAACTAACGGATCCGATTAACTGTGAAGACGAACGGAACGTTCCTTATTTGGTGTTAACAGCACATAACATGGTTATTTTGCCTTTAATTACTAAGTGACTCAATGTTTGCCTGCATTCTAAGGCAGTTTCGTTGTACAACCATTGCATCCTGGCTCACGCACTGATTGAGCTTTCATACTGCGCTTGATCCGTCTGCGGATGATGAAAGGATCATCTGATTACTTTTTTGATTTTCGTTTACTAGATTTCGCGCTACTTTTCACGGAGCACTGCGGAACTCACCCCACCTCTCCTGATCTTATGCGTCTGTTTACTCTTCTTACAGGTTCGCCGACCTTTGCCTGCATTGTAGTCTATTTTTGGTAGCGCTGTCACTATCGTTATTTGCATCGTTTTCATCCCTCTATCCTTGCATCGCCCCACCTCCCAACAGGCACGCGTTGTGCAACCTGGTCCACAGCTATATGACAACTTTGGCGCGCAAATTTCCCACAGTGAAGTTTCTCCGTGGCGAGTCGTGTCTTTGCATTCCTGATTTCCCAGAGTACAATCTGCCATCATTATTAATATATCGGGATGGTGATTTGCAAAACCAGTTGGTCGGGCCTGACGCACTGGGAGGAAAGTCTGTATCCGCCAAAAGTGAGCCGATGTATATCACAAGCTGTTGCTATAAATATATATATATATATATTTGGCATTTCGTAAACCACATTGGATTTTAAGCAGAAAATCAGCATTTCGCTTGCATTAAATGAGAAGTAAGACGACTAGACTATGTTCAGAATACATTGTAGTCATGCTAATGTAACCGAATTATGTAACCAGCGGGTGCCACTGCAAACTCTTCTCTGGATCGTGAACTCGATCGCCCCGACCAAAGTCGTGACTGAGTATCCCTCTATCTCCCGTAGTTTACACATGGACCGGTGTAGGTATGCGACTATAAGAAAGTCAGACCCCCCAATCGCGTATTCTATCATGACTTCGACATATGTTACCTAGCATTGGAGGGTCGTTGTGAAGTACTCGTTTTGAGAATGGGTTTCGATGCGCCTTCTCAATGTGGACCGCGGTTCACACTGAATTAAACTTTGGAGAATCCGATCACTTGGACCGTAACTGATGAAGCAGATAGGCGGCGATTCACTTGTCCTCTGCCATTCTTTGGGCCTTCGCGTAATGTGTGTGGGCCACCCTATTCAGCTGCTCGTTTATTGGGTTAGTACAGGCTATCATGACTCCACCGAACACAACGTAGCTTTATTGGCCTACTGCTGCAAGTCGTTATGAAAGAAAGGGGATCAAAACGACTGGACGATGTTCGGACTACATTGTGCTCGCGCGAATGCAGCGGGACTCTGCAAGCTGTTGCCGAATGTGCAATCTCGTCCCTTTATCATTAGCGTTGTTCACTTCAAGCAAAGCTGTTTACCAAATTGTCCCTTGTCGCTAAATGTGCTTCCGCGTATTTCCTGTGAGTGTGTGGGCAAAATTAGGCTGGTTATGGTGGATTCATCATAGTATACACTGTTCTGTTATTCCAGCAGCTCAATAGGTTCGTCTGCACACCCACATAAGATACGCGAAGGCCCATAGTGCGACAGGTGACACCTGGGTCACTGGTTCTGCTCTAGACAATTGACACCCATAATTCGGTTGCATTAGCATGACTACAATGTAGTCTGAACGTAGTGTAGTCGTCTTACTTCTCATTTAATGCAAGCGAAATGCCGATTTTCTGCTTAAAATCCAATGTGGCTTACAAAATGTCCAATATATATATATATATATACATATATATATATATATATATATATATATATATATATATATATATATATATATGCGTGTGTGTGCCTCATCCTGTAGTTGATGTTCCCTACATGATGCTACTTCACCGCACTTAGGCTACATCGACATGCACTTATGCCAGATCGTTTTAATCTTAATAAAGAGAATTCCACTTTAGTTGATTTTTTCAGTTATTTTATTTTGCGTGCTTGCTTACGGTTAAATTCTATGTTGGTTGTTTGATATCCGCGGTGTGGCTGAGCTTGATGTGAATGTTGACATGATGCCTACCTGTCTAAAACTCTCGACCACAATTACTAGCTCCAGGAGACTGTGGATCGTTGCTGCTGGGAAGGGCTGCACGGTCCTCGTGACCGTGCTGTGCTCGAAGAGTGGTTTCATCCATTGTGGAACGGACTACGGCCCAGCCACCACCCTGTGTACGTCTGGTACGCATGATTCCCCACATACTGCTGTGCATGTTGAAACAGTGTGGGCCGGCTCCGTTGATGATACGTGGCTTCCATCCACTTGCCTTCCGGTCTTCTTTCTTCGAGTTGGAGCTAAGTGTGATGCAGCTCAAGCCACCGATGTTCCTTCTGTAGGTACAGGCGTCTTTTGGAAGTCCCCATGGAGGCCGCAGTGACAGGCAAATTCGGAACCGGATGTCGCTAACCATATATACTGACATCAGTTCACAGAAATAGATATCCAATCCTTAAAAATATAGTGGGGAATAAAAGAAAAACGTACAGCACTTCGAAAAATGAATCCATTATGAAAAACAAAGAGCAGGAATATTTTTTTCCTTCATACGCCATTTGCTTTTCTTTTTTAAGCGTAAAGGTTTTCACAATCGGAAATTTGCGTAAAGTTGCGTGCATTGCCTCCCATCTAATAGTGCCGTCGGTAGAAATGCAGCTCCTTATATAAACAAAACTGTCCATGTGTTCGAGCTGTATGCTAATGATGGTGAACTGAGGAAGGGGAGATCGCCAATTCAGTCACAGCACTTTACACTTGAAGAGGGCAAAAGAACATACCATATCTAGATGCTTATAGCACCAGCCGGTCAAAGATTTCTTGCATATCAAGAGAGTTGTTTCCGAGAAAGTCGATTTCAGCAGCGTAATCTAAGTCGATTGTGCGATCACCTGGAAGGAGCTCAACACTAAGGTTCTGCAGCCCTTCAAAAGCCCCAAAGAATACGTTTTCGATCGCAAAATTGAAAAGAAATGGAGACATAGGGCATCCATGTAGCACACCACTGGTAACAGGGAAGAGTGTAGCAAGCATGTCGTAGGTTCTCATTTTGCTTGAAGTATGGAGGTAAGGTGTCCAAATTATAGCAGGCATTGTCATAAAGCAGGTCGGTCTACTGAGTCGAATATAGTTCATGAAGGCGACAATAGTGGATCTGCGATCGAGAAGACGATGTTCGAGAAGCTGACGAAGTGTGAGTATTTGATCCACACATCCCCGGACAGATGCGAAAATCAATCTGCTCCAATCGGTAGTGTTTCCCGCCTTGGGGCTAGCCATCCAAGCAGCATAGATATAAGTATCTTGGTGACGACCGATGTGAGACTGATCCTTCTGACAAATACTCCCCGCTTGGGTGTCCTTTATTCTTGCCAGATCTTCAGAAATAGGGATGTTGGCTGATTGAAAACTGTCATGCCACCGTATATGAGTAATACTAAAGGAAGTTCGCCTAAACTCCCACCCTCAAAGCGCATCAGCGCATCGAGAGTTCTGACTTATGCTACTGTGATGCGAACTTTCAAATCGTCAAAATCAGATGAGTAAAAAGTATGTAGTCCGAGATCCTCGGAGGTCACAACAGCTAATAATGATTGTTCACATGATAGGTATAAGAAAAACATGAAAAAGAAGCATCCGCAGCCGCATGCGCAGAGGTCGATTGAGGATTAGTTTGGACGCGGATGGGACAGTCACATATGCAAGAAAAGGTATTTTTTACCCGATCTACCGAAGGTAGACACTAGTTGACAGCGTGGTCAGCTTTTTCCCACAAGCAACCCGGATACTGTCAACATAGTCTAAATGGATAACGGATGCCGCGCAATGCAGTTGTATATAAAACCCCTAAAAATAAGCAGATAAGAGTCCATAACCGGATATCGAGATAACATCATGAGATAGCAAATTTATTTTTGGGACGAGCATTGCAACACTAACTTCACTTCAGTTTTAATTTTGACGTCAACTCCAACCTGCGGCTGATCGTAGTCGCAGGGGCTTAACATGGTTGGCCGCATCCGGTTCTGGATTTGCCTGTCACTGCGCCCTCCTCCATGGGGACAGCCAAAAGACGCTTGTGTCTACAGAAGGAACATGGGTGCCTTATGCACCACGTTTAGCTCCAAACACTCACCTCATACCTAGCGTAAACCCGAAGAAAGAAGACCGGAAGGCAAGTGGATGGAAGCCACGTATCATCAACGGAGCCGGCCCACACTGTTTCAACATGCACAGCAACAGCATTCCTGTCTATGTAGGTGGGAAATCATGCGTACCAGAGGTACACAGGGTGGTGGCTGGGCCGTAGTCCGTTCCACAATGAATGAAACCACTCTTCGAGCACAGCACGGTCACGAAGACCGTGCAGCCCTTCCCCCAGCAACGATTCACAATCTCCTGGAGTTAGTAATCGTGGTGGAGGGTGTTAGACAGGCAGGCACCTTGTCAACATTCACATCAAGCTCAGCCACACCGCAGGTAACAATTTCTAGCAAACACCAGAAATGCAAGAATATCAACACGTGAACATACCGAATAGCTGCACTGATGCTGTGGCACTCATGCCACATCAGCCGCATTGTTGGCCTGATTTATTGAACGAAATGTACTCCGAAGCGCATACCTACTAAGCGCTGCGCAGATGATGCTTATCTATTCGGCCTGCTCGAATTCTCTTGCTCCTTGGCCTCACGTGGTCATGTTGTTGGCTTCTTAGTTCCGCTTGGCATAGGTATTCGTGAGCAGATGTGTTGCGGCAGCATCGGCTCGTGTCGCCTCCTCACCCGATGTCCCTATTCCGTATGTAATAGTGACTTCTGCTGCACCTTGGTAACCACCCTCTTTCTAAGCTCGTGCTGTTTGCGTCAAACAACTGCCCTTGCTTCCCATCACCAAAACTCAGCATTAGTTCGTGTTAAACTCACTGTTAGCGTTCAAAACTGTTTGGTAGTACAGCAACGCGTGTCCTGCCGGGAAATCAACATGAACCAAAACCGGAACCGTGATAACGATGCAATTGAACAAGTAATCATAGAAATGCAGACAATACCTTAACGGTTCCCAAACTCATATGCATCCAAAGGTCCTTCAATGCAAAACAACCTCTTGGTCAAATCATCCAGGTGGATCCATGAACCAAAATACAGTCAGATGATCTCGCATAGAGCGTAGGGAAAATTGTATAGATGTACATACAGGGCGTGGAATCTAACCAATGGCGCCGACCAATGTGGCTCCGATCAGATCCATACAAACTCGCCTCGTGTCAGGACACAACACAAGAATGGGCGTACGAGTGATTGCTTGATGTCAAGGTCATGGGACGTGAAACGCAAATGAATGGGTATGGGTGCGCGGAGAGACGGTATGAAGATAGGCGGGGCAGAACGCAGTACAAAGATGGGGTGATGCCACTGACAGGAATGAAGCGGAATTCGGACATAGAGGAAACAGGGTATTGAAACGTCAGCCGTCAATGTCGATAAAGAACAGACTTCATGCAGTGATTGGGCATACGGGGAACTCCGATTACACTGCCCCACAAACTTGGATCCGGATTTTTCAGCGAGTCATTGTTCCACGCT